AAACCTCACAAATCAAAGACAACTCCAATAACTCACAAGACAACATTATTATTGACTTACCTTCTACTGTTGCTAATTCATTTATCTAATCTAAATATAATTACTCCAAATGTATTTATAGCTTAATAACTTTATCTGCTAATTTCAACTCTATTTCCCCTAATGCTAAGTAGATATTCACAGCTGCTTGGTACCATCCAGCAAGATATATTGTTTTAAACTTTCTTTTTAATATTAGTCATATGATTGTTGTAGGCAAGCTAGCATTTAACTTATTGTACCAACACATGAGAGATGTTGTTTCTTTCACGATGTATATTATGTTATATACAAATCAAATAAAGAAATAATGTTTACCTACAAAAAAATATATATATATTATTAGTATCAAGTATTTAGAATATAAAAAATAAGAATATACTATTATATATACAAATAAAAGTTTAATTAAATCTAAGCAAAATTATTTTATTATTAAACAAAAATATTAACAATTATCTAAACTGTTAAATATTTTATAAATATTTTGAAACTAATTAGTTTTGTATTATAAAGTATTATTTTGTTTTCAATAATTAAAGTATTTAAATTTTTTTAAAAAAGAATCAAGTAAATTCTATATCTAGAATCCTATAATTAAATTGTTATTTATAAAATAAAAAAAAATAACAATAATGTTAATACTATTTTATGCATGTATAAAATTAAAAAACTAATTTATATATTTAATTAAAAGAATATACTACAGTACTGGTGAAAAAAACTAACAATTTTATTATTATCATTTGCTATATATAAAACTTTTTATAGAATTATTTAAATTATATATATATAATTTTTAAAATATATATTTAAAAAATATCAAAAAAATTTTAAAATTATATTATTAAATTAATTAAAAAAAAATAATTTTTTATCTTAAAAAAGTTAAAAAAATTGAGAGATAACAATAAAGAAAAAAATTTTAAAATTATTAATTTTATATTTTTGTTAATAAAAAATTAAAAAACTATTTAATTTTTATAAAAATTTATAATAATATTTTTCATAATCTAACAAATAAGTTTACTTAAGAATGTTTAACAAAAAAATGATTATTTTTTTTAAAAAAAAATCAAAAAAAACAAAAAAACTAAAAAAAAAAATTTTACTATTGTTAACGTCTCTTTCAACAAGTTTGTTGCTTCTTCAGAGCACTTCTTGCATAATGTCGGTAAGTGTTTAACTTCTTTACTTGAGGCATATGGATTGTTTAGCCGAGTTCCATTAACTCTTTCCTTCTTTTTCCGTTGTTGCTTCTCTTAACAGATCTTTATTACTTTTCCCTTCATGGTTCCAAGCATTCTATTGGCAACAAGTATTAGATTAAGTAAGTTAATTAGTTTTTACTTCTTTTGGCAATGACTATCACATGTCCTAATTAAGAGGTTTTAATTTTAGGAATTGTTTTTCTTATTTGCATGGCCTCTCTCTATTTATATCATTGTTATTACTAGAAAAACAATTAAGAGAAAATAGACTATCAATAGACTATCCTTACAAGAGAAGTTATAGAAAGTTTATTCTAAACTCTAATTATTGTGTCATTGCTTATGTACTGTAACTTCACTAATTATTTCCAATTTTCAGGATACATGACATACTAGATCATGTACTGTGGCCATGCTCCATACAATTTTCCTGCTAATACTATGTTTTCTTATGTAGAATTTATTTTATTAATAAAATAGTTTTTTGAAGTTTATCATTTAAAAACTGTAAAATTTATTTAATTTATATAAAAATTTTTTGATATTAAACATAAATTTAATAAAAATTTTAATAATATTTTTAAAAAACAAATGAGACAACTTTAGTCTTTATATTTATTTCTAGTTTTATTTAAAATTTTATATTATTTGTATAAATATTTATAGAGATAAATTAACAAAACCACTTGTCACTTTTTTCTGCTAGTACTGTAATTATAAATCTGATTATAGCTTTATAATTGTCAATTATATTATATTCTACAATTATAATTCAAAAGAATTATTATATAAAGTCAAATAATTTATTATAAAAAAATACTACCCAATTTGCAAAAAAATAAAGGCTGTTATATTTATATTTTTTGTAACTGATATAAAAAGTTAACTGATAAAAACAAATATTTTTTCAAAAATAATTTATTAAAAATATACATTTTTTGATTAGTTTATTATTAAAACTTTATCAAATTACTATTAAATAATTATAACATTTGTAAAAAAATTATTAAATTTAATTATGGCAGTAGTAACTATTTTAGTATCAAATTTCTTTAATTAAATAACAATATAAAATTTCAAATTCTCTATTAAGTTATTATCAAGTTATTATAATATTATAACAATATGATTATGATTATATATTGATTTGTTTGTGAAATTATTTTATAATAATAATTTAATAAATAATATAAACATAATTAAATAGTAATATAAATGCAAATTTATTGAAGTTAGATATAAATATAATTATAAATTTTTTACAATTAAGTTATAACAATATAGTAATATATTTGAGTTTATTGCAATCAAATAATAATATAAACAATTAGACAGTAAAGTAATTGTTAATATATATTGAGTTAAATTGCATTAAAGAAATAATTATTTTTTAAATAATATATATTTGATAGATTATAATTATTAATATATACTTTTTTGAATATACAATTATAAACAAATCAATCATATTTAATTGATTGACTATTATTAATAGATAAATTTTTTATTAGCCTTTATTTTTTGCTAATTAAATCTTATAACTTGAATATTCTAATATTTATTTGTTTGATTTTTTCAAATCAAACAATTGCAATAAAGGCATAAGAATATATATCATTGTATAAGTAATAGAAAATTACTTAAATTTTGACATAATTCTTAGCTTTGTTTCTAATATTGATAAATATGACATCTTTAAAATGTAATAAATATTTTTTAAAAAGGTTATGATTATTTTTTTCTAAATAAGCTGTATTTTTATAAAAACTTATTACTTTATTAATAAAAATCAATTGATTTTCAAAATTACAATAAGAAAGTAATGCATTGTATAACAGGGAGAAATGAGATATAACTGTAGTTACGTGATCAATAGTCGTGACAATGGTAAGTCAGCTGTAATAATTAGATAATAACAAGTAATAAAAGAAATTAACGAGAGCAATTATGTAAAATAACTAAAGCCCCGTCATTGTACTATAGCTTATTATTCTATACCCAAGCTGCCATAGCCAATTGTAAAGAAAAAGAAGTATAAAAAGAATATAAAGTGTAAAGGAAGAAACAGTCAACAAGTAAAAAAATTAATAAAGACTTGGTCAAATACAAACATGCCTCAAATCATCCTTTTATTTATTTACTCCAGTAACAGTTATGCAAATCTCTACTAGAGTTAGCGACTGACTTGCTGTTACATCACTACAATTGACTTAAAAGTTGAGTTATTTACTTGATAAGATATATTTTTTTTAAGATTTTATCATGGAATTTTTTTTCTAAAGTTGATATTATTAATATATTTTATTTGTAAATAAATTAAATTTAATAAATTTAATTAGCAATATTAATTGGCTGTTTATAAAAATTCCAATGATCAATTTTTGATATCATTACCTTTATTACAATCCAAGAGTTTATTAATAATAAATCAATTATCAAATAACCTTTTGATACTTTGTGAAATATTTAACAGAATCTTGATTATTGCTTAAGAATTTATTGTCAATTTTACTATTTATTAAATGTCAAATAGCAAATAATATTGTATGTTTTTTACTAAGTCCAATTCAATATCATTATACTTAATCAATAAAAGTGTATTTGTATGTTTGTACATTTAGTCAATTTATTTCTTACAATAATTTTACTTGCATTGAAATTTTCATAATTTTTATAAAAAACTTTTTTTTAAAGATAATATTACTACGTAAATCATAATTTTGAAAAAAGATTGTAATTTTAAAAAATCTAATTTTTACATTAATTAATTTAAAAAAAAAATTATTTTGATATAGAAATCAATCAAAACTTAAAATAATTTTTTTTACAAAACTTTAAGTGTTATAATACTGTATTAAGCATTTAACATAGTACTTAAAAATGTAATGAAATTCACCGCCTGGAGGGAAAAATAGAGAATTCCTTAAAATTTATGATTTGACTAAAAAATGTATTGCAAAGGGATTATACGTTTTATTCCGAGAAGAGATTTCGAGGCTGTGCAAATGCATTTTGTTGCTTCTGATTTATATGTACAAGGCAAGAGGTGAGATTGTAATTATTAAACTCTTCAAAATAATACAGAATTCATATTAATATTCGTAAAAAATAGGTTTGTTGTTAACAATCCCTTGCCTCGTTTTTTCCCTTTTTCGTGACAAATAAAAACAAATCCACAAGCCTCCCGAGCGGTTGGCTGAGATATGTTAGTCTCTGTGCGGGTCATAACTTTTATTCCATAAGACAGACGTCAACTTAGCCACAAATTGAAATCTATAAATCGGAATAAGCCCTTACAAAAATGATTCGGTGGATTATGTGTTTTCTTTTTGAAATATTTGTGGAGGAAAAATATTTGGAAATAAATTTGCGCCAAGGCTTTTATTCTAGCATGAACGTTGTAACCCGATTTTATTGTAAACAAATAAACACCTATATATATATAAGATGGCTTCCCATGGAAATTGCGGTAAATAGATTCTCAAAAGAAAGCAATTGTGTGATTATGTGACTCAGTAAAGGTTTCTTCGCCATGTCATTGTTTGAGTATTTGTACAAGCCATAGTTTGAGATTTATAAAGGTAAATGTGTTTCAAATATTTCCACTTTTCTGAAACTATTTCACTTTACTATTGATTTTCCTTTGTACAGTTAACTTAATAATTTAATGAAGCGATGGGTCTATTTGATTATTCGCCTCACGATTTAACCGCAAGCCTTGGAGAGTTCCTCGGAACAGCTTACTTTATATTTTTTGGTACTATAATTACTTTTCTTTGCTGCTTTCCTTGGATTTTTAAAAACTGATAATAATAGCCTTTGCTTTTTCGCTGCGACTTTTTCCTTGGAAAATTAGGTGTGGGAGGAGGCGTCGCACTTACTAACAATATTGTAGACCCTAATGCTGGTGTGTGCGTATAAAGTTATTTTACATATTCGTTATACATTATACTCTTTTCTCACGGAAAACATCAAATAATCGATATTAAATATTATATTTAGTGGATTGATTGCAGGCCCATTCGCCTGGGGTTTTTCTCTGGTAGTAAATGTGTGGATTTGGGCTCCGATTTCTGGTGGAGGTTAGTACGTACACAAGAAACAAGTTTATCTCACACAAAATTTATTAAATCTAGTTACTATATCGCGCATTTATTCACCAACCTTAAATTGTTATTCTCGTCAATTATACCATATGCATAGTTCTCAATCCTGCGATCACCATAGCTCTGATGGTTGTCGGTCACCTCTCAATCATTAAAGGGCTTTTGTACATTGTTGCTGAATTCTTGGGCGCTTTTGTCGGAGCATATCTAATTAGTTTAGCTCAACCACCTCCAGATGGCGGAGCAACTGTCCTGGTAAATATACACGAGACGGAATAATATTAGTAAATCAATTCTTATTCACGATTTTTTGTTTTTTTTCTTTAATACAGGCTGAAGGAACATCCATCATGCAGGGTTTACTGCTTGAGCTTATTGCTACTTCCATATTAACGTTCACAGTGCTCATACTTGCCATTGAGAAACCAAACCACACGAATGCAGCTATTGCCATTGGTTGGGCGTTGTTCATTTCGGCTATTGCAAGTAAATAATAATATTTCTATATACTGTATATTGTATAAAGCATTTGTTATTGTTATGAATGTTATATTAATGCCGTTGGCATTCCAGTCGGTCCATATACTGGTGGCAGGTAAAAAAAAAAATTTTTTTTCTACATTCGGAAATTTTATCTTCAAGCAGCATTGCTAACCATACGCATTTCTTGTTAAAGTCTAAATCCCGCAAGGACATTCGGACCAGCTATAATTACTGGAGATTTTGGTGACGCAAACTGGATCTATTACATTGGACCCGTTCTTGGTGCCCTGTTAGCCGCCGGATACTTGTTTTTATTTAAAAAACTACATTACAGAGAAGAGGTACTTCTAAATCACAATATGAGAGCATCTAATTCACAGGTTTAATCGAGCGTTTTATTATTATCAAAAACAAAAAACAAATCGTTATTCTAGGCGAAGCCGGAATATGAATTACCGCATATGCACGAATCAAAATCCACATCGTAAATTTCAGCACACGAAAATTTATAAATACTGTGTACTGAGTGTACAATACAATTCTTTGTACTCGATCGATTTTTTTCATTATGACCTCTTTCCACCACAACGGAATATTTGAGTTTTCAGGTTACTGTAAATTATAACGACACACGAGTTATTTTACACAATAAACGAAAAGATACCCAAGGGATTAAGAATAACAAATGAAAGACCTTTCACAAATGCTTGTCAAGTACTTAGTTATCGGCAACAGTATAAAAAATCAAACTCCGAACAAATTGAACCATTGTATAAATGCAGTACTTGAATTTATGTACATTTTTTATTGACTATTTCTAATATTTGTCTATTACAATGAACATGGTGGATGTTACTTAGTTTAACGTCATACTGTACTGTATTGCGATGCGTGCATACATGAATGAATTGAATAATATGCAGTGCAAAAGAACTATATTTTACCGTATATCTAGTTTAATCAAGAGTCTGGGAGCTATGCGATGTCTATGATTTAAATCTTTCTTGTTGGAATTAGCGTTTTTCTTTTATTAGTCACGTCGGTACCATAAACATTTGGCACAATTCTAGCTTCCTTTACTTTCGGATTCTTCTTTGGATTTTCCAATAAACGTTTGTTTTCTACAACTTTGGTTTTCCCTTCAGCTGAATTTTTCTCTGAGCTTTTTGACAAACACTCGTCTGATTTCCTTTTCACCAAATTTTTCTGCGATAAACATTTGTCTGAAGTATTTTTTGCGTTTCTTTCCAGCATTAACGCTTCGACTTTTCTCTTCAGTTTTCGTGCTTTCTCTGTATCACGTTCGACGTAATGATTATTCATGTACATACTTATAAGTTCTTTCATTGCTTTGACATGATTCTGTTTTGCCGCTTCCTTCAGAAATCTTATCGCAGTGGAAAAATCACCATTTGAATTTTCTATTGGATAACGTAGAATAAGAAGGGCGTACAAGTATTGTCCCTTCGGATGACCTTTCTCAGCGGCCTTGTATAGATACTTCATGCTTTTCTGAGGTTCTCGCTTGCCATCGTGTAAACCATTGAAATAATAATATCCAATCCAGTAATTGGATTCGGCTAAATCTTCTTTTTTAAGACTTTCAACAAATTTCTCAAAGGCTTCCTTGTATTGTCCTTTCTCATGGTGCTTCTTGCCTTCATCTAGAAGCTTCCGAGATGATAGAGATGGAATTTTGCTGGCAGAATTTTTGCGACTGTTGTCGCTAGGATTTAATTCATCGGAGGAAGATTCATGCGAGGTATCAGAGTTTATAGAAAGATGTTTGTCTTTTGTTCTGGCCGAGCGAGAGGGTTTGTGTGATGAAGTAGGAATTAATGATGAAATTGAGGTCCTCTTTACGTCCTTAGATTTAATATTGTTGTCACACGAATTTTGTTCTGCTTCGTTGTCACTCGAAAATTGTGTTTCAAAGCTACCAACTTTCAGAAGATCGTTGCCTTGTAATTTTTGTGCATCATGACTACCCTCAAAATCTGTAGACCACACGGATTCATTTTCGCTTGAATATTGTATGTCCCCATTATATGCTTCCAAATGATTGTTGTCATAATGTGGGTTTTGTAGATCTTGGTTACCATCAGAGTCAGCGGACCATTCTTCCTCATTGTCGGTTAAATATTGTGTGTTCAGGTTACCAGCCTTCAATGAATAATCATCGGAGTCAACAAACCACTCTCCTTCATTATCGCTTGAATATTCGAAGTTTAGATTGCGCGCTTTATCATGCGACCCTGGTAAATCTTGGGTATCTTCGGAGCTAATGGGCAATTCACTTTCGTTATCGTATGAATATTGTATAATTGGTATGTCCATGCTCAAAATACGTTGATTATCATGGGAACCTTGTTTATCTTTACCCTCAGATCTAACTGACCACTCGCTTTCATTGTTGCTTGAATATTGCGTATTTGTGTTAACCATTTTAAAGGAGTCGCTGTCTTCATGCGAACCTTTCGTCTCTTGTTTAATAAAGCAGGTCGCTTTCAAGAAATCTTCGTTTTCGCTTAGGTCTTGTATATCCTGGTTACTCTCCGATTCAGCTTTAAAGAACTCGTCATCTTCTTCGGGTGGATAGGGTACGGCCTTCAAGAAGCTATTGTTGTTGCTAGAGATTTCTCTCGATTCATCATTTAAATCCGATTGATACACAGGAATCACAATTTCGGTGACAATGCTCTCTATGCTTGACACAAAGTAGTTGTTTTCAGCGGAACGATTGTTAGTTTCGCCTAGATCATTGGTCATTCCTTTGACAGTTTCAATTTTAGCTTGATCAATAAAAGCATGTGATAACTTGTCTAAGCAACCGAGCATCTCTTCCATCGTAGGACGATTTTTCGGATTATGGTCCCATCCTTGTTCCATGATTTTTTGATAATTGACAGGTGCCCCAATGATTTTTTGCGGTTGAGGGCGTTTCATCGTCGAATGAATATCTAACCAAATGTTTTCAAACGAGGCGTTTTCGAAAGGAACCTTCTCACTGGCCAATTCCCACAGAATAATGGAAAAGCTATAAACATCACTTTTATTTGTGTGTTCACCTTTAAATACTTCGGGTGCCGTCCATCTAAGAAAAAAAAAGAAATGCAAATTATTTGATGATCATCAAATGGCGCTCATATACATTAGCTAAGTTTAAAAGGGAATATTTACTGTGATGTTGGGATGTTCCCAATGTGCTTCGATATGACCGAATAACGGTTGGTCGTGGCAAAATTGTAGAGCATAGGTACCAGATTTTCGGTCAACAGTACATTCGCACTGAAACGAAAACGTAAATGTTAAGCAAAGGATCTCATTGGAATACGTGATTGATTGTCAGTTTTTCCCAAACAACACACACCTTGTGATTTCATGATGTACCAATTCTTTTTTGTGAATATAATCCAATGCCTTTGCAATGCTGCGTGCGATATAAATCCTTTCTTGCCATGCAAGATTTGGTTTACCAGCAAGATAATCCCGAAGATTATACTCGGTCCATTTGAATATGGAGTAATAATCTGTACGGTGGACGTACCCATAACTGCATCGGTGAAAAGTATATATATATGTTAACAAGAGAGAGAAGAGGTAAACACGTGTCAAACAAATGTGTATAAACGGTACCATGGAAGAATGTAATCACATTCTCGGGAAAGTTCTTTAAGCCATTCGATCTCCTCTTTGAGTTTGGACTCTTTGGCAGTACATTTTTGGAAAAATCCAATCTTTCTTTCAGCAACAAATGTTTTCTCTTTGGGATACCACTTCTTCGTTATCGTTCCATTCGCCCTCTTGACCAACTCTCCTATGGCTTCGACATTAACGATCAACTTCTCTGATTCGGGTTTAACGTCGTTGTTGACGTTCGATTTCAAGAAGATAGCGACGAATTTCTTTTTAATTTCGTGTCCCCAACTTTTTCTTTTGATCGTATTTTTTAATTTTTTCGTAGCCTCTTTTAACTCTTCTAAGCCTGTTTGCAATTCCTGTCTGGCTTCCTCACTTGACGGTTGCGGTGCCACAGTGTTCTCGTAAATTTTTTCGATGCTCAATAGAACATGAAGATAGTCATTAATGGCATTACTCTGAATAGAGGATTTGTTTTCAATGATAAGATCTCGGGACATCTTTACAAGTGTTTGGGTACTATCAATAATTTCACGGTGGACACTCCATCTTGGAAATAGGCGCATGATTCTCTCGAAAATATTCTTGGCGTGCTCAAGCTCTTCGGGTAACATGGGAATGTTATCAGATTCATTCAGGATTTCATATGAGTGCATTTTGTGATCAGCAATCATTTTTTCTTTCGATTGTTTTTTCAATAAAGTAATCTTGATGACTCGTTCAACGAGAAGTTTCTAGCTTGGAATGAATAGTGGGATGGAAAAATCTATAATAACTTGATCAACAAAGTTATTTTTTGAGAGAATTTATATTTTTGTATGTTTTCTTCGAAAGTTGGGGTGAAGAGAGAGATATGGGCATACCAGTGTATTTATAGACGAAAATTTGTGACAAAATCATCATATCGAAAAGACACAGGTGGTCCTTATTTTGTTAGATAAGGAGAGGTTGATAATAGGAATCACTGACCTAGACAATACTACGATTCTACTTCTCGATAGTATGATGCGATATCAAGTTTAAAACAGATCTCGTCCATTTTTGGGCACAATAAACATCCAACGACCGTTGTGTTTCATAATTATACTATCTGAAACATTGGTTTGACTATACTAGCCGAAAACCCAAAAATAGGGTATTACGTAGGTCAAATTTTAGGTAGCATCGCATGAACTAGCGAACAAGGACTATAAATAATTGTTGTTGATTGTTGCTAAATATTTGACACCAATATGTATTAAATTATGCTAACGTGGACACAGGTGAACCAAGAAACAAGGAAAGAATATAACGGGGAAGTCCATGTTTTTCCTGTGCGACAAATACAGTACAGTAGTAAGAAATCAATGAGCGAATGACCGTTAATGTCATCATTTACGTATCATGAAAACCACGCTGTGACACAACACAAGGACTTCAATTCTTGCATAACAAGGTTTAAACTCTTTTTAAATAGCCAATCCGACTCCGACATTGATCAAGGTAGACCTTATTTGGAATGAATGATAGCAAAACACAAATTTTTTTAAGTTGCAAAACAAGAAATTTTGAAACATTTGATTTTCGCAATGAAAAAATGATACAAGAATGCAGGTCAATGTTATGTAATGAAAATCAACTATTTTTAATTCCACGCCTACTCAAACTAGTCATGCTGATGTTACCTTTTCGAGACGCATGAAAGGTAAAAAAAAGAAGGAAGAAAGAAAATACTGATTAAGTCTAATTATTTTGTTATGTCCCATTCAGATAAACATTATACTCTAGACGGACTTTGTCGATTACTAATGTTTTTTACCGAATTTGGATAATTGAAACCACGAGTGAATTTTGAATATTGTCATGCGATACTTAATCAATCCGTTGAAGCACATTTCGTTAACTATAAAAGAGTCAAGTGTCCCTGGGGTCGTAACAAACCTTCAAGAAAATCGTCCTTTTGATAAATAGACCGATCATTAGTCCTTTAATTTCGCAATGACGAGTTCTAGCCACACTACCACAAAAAATTGGAGTGACCGGATTCACTCCCTTACTGGCGCCATTTCCAAGGCAAATACGAAAGTGGGCGACTTACCCTCCATCCTTCTTGATACCTTCTTTCCCAAAGATTCTGTCTCCTCTACCTTCTCTCACATAGTCACCCATTGCGTATATAAAGGCCTCGTTGAACGAGAAGTGGTTGATAAAGAGCTAATACAGAGTGAACTTGACTTGATTTATCAGACTCTTAGTAATTATTGCAAAGAAGGCAATAATAATAGGTCGCATTATATAGAATGTTTGGCGGAATTATGTGACAGATTCTATAAGAAACACACCAAACAGAATGATAGCACAAGTTTACAGTTTGTGGTAGTGATGGCCTTTTTCTCGTTGTTGCATTTGACGGTTTTGCGAGAGAGAGAATTTTACCAGGAGGTGAGTACCTAGACATCTTCTATTAAATGTAAAATTTGATAAGCGGCTAACTTTGGCATTATCATTGTTTAGGAGATATTTGCGTCAAAGAAACCTAGAGATGCCAAAGACCTCTCATCCTACTCCCAAACCTATAAAGCGTATTTTAAAGCTGCGGGTCAAAAATGGAAAGCTTGGCAGGATAAAATCAGAACCACGACTTACGCTCAAGGCATCGTACCCGGGAATTTCTACGATTGCCTTTTACTGGAAAGAGATTTGGGAAAATGTGAAAAGGAGAAGCGCATAACCAGTTTTTTTAATGATGTAGATGCAGAGTTCACAAAGCTATATACCTACACGTCAGCCTTGGAAAAATTCTTTCCAAAAAATCTTGGTTCTCTCAAAAATAGTCAAGACCCGATTCGTAATTCTTCCGCAACTATTTTAGATTCTCTAAAATTTGATCCTTACGGAGCCGCAGGCGAGGAGCTTTCGAATGATAAACCGGGTGTTATTGCGGGTATTGATATCAATTATAGTTCGGTTATCGATGCCATTAGAATACATTACAGAGAACCCGATGGTTCGATTCGGAAAGGAACCCAAAGAGGAAACAGTGATAGTGGCAATCTGTGCACCATTAGAGGCCTCAACAAAGAATACAACCATGTTGTAGCCGTAGATCTTTATTGTAACAAATATGTGGTCTACGGATTGCGATTCTTTTTTTCAGATGGAACCAGTACACAAACTTTTGGTGAAGAGGTGGGAGAAAGAAAAAGATATGGATCCATCGAAAAGAAAAATCTTAAGTTAACAGGTATCAGAACAGCAGGTTCTCTATATGAACCGTTAGGGAAAACCATGGTGATTAGTCGTATTGAATTATCATTTGGGCAAATTAAATCGACGAATGACAATGAAAATCTGGAAAGCATTAATAGAACAAATTCCAAGGGCGAAAAGGAAATTAAGATATTGGGGAAGGGTGCGAAATCGAGACATCTTTCGTAGAATTCCGATCCCGGATGCTTCGTTGTTCATTGGATTATACTAACGGATTTTTACCGCTACACATTTCTTCCAATTATCGAGGGCAGGTACCCTTACATTATATTAAATTTGCACGTGTACATAGAAAACTTGCATGTATCTCCAAAAGGAAATTTCGATCCATTTTTCAATAAGTTTAGAACACATTAGATTACCAAACTTGTAAAATAGCACAATGCATAAATTTTATAGAAGAGAATCATCTGTCCATAAGCTTATATACACAATAAATTCAAATCTAGCTATTTTAGTTGCCAAGCCGCGTGAGTTGTGATTTCCAATGCACAAAAAAAAATAAGAAAAAATTCCGTTAAAGTTTAGTGTAACACATGATACTACACCACAGAATTTGTTGCATACATTTTCGAATGAATAAAATTCGAAAGTGGTTAACATTTATGAACAAGGAAAACGATTGGAAGAACTTGTGCAATCTCGAGATGATAAATTCAACGTTGTCGGAAAGCGTGAGGGTCAAGTTTTTCTATTTCTCGATGAAGATTTGTGTAACATCCAACTTTAATTATGCCAATAATTGGTTGTGTATTAAGTGCATACATAAGCTCAATCTGATAGTATTTTCCGATGAATAATTAAGTTTATATTTAAATTTCTTTCTATTTCTAAAAAAGAAATGCTAAATATGACAGGTTATAAATAACAAGGTAAAAATTATACATAGAATAGGAAAATAATATGATATTTGGGAGCAGAGATATTATTATAATTATTTTTTAAATTATTAATTTATGTAAAATATTAAATTAATATTGTTGGCAGAAAAATATGTAGATGGGTTGGGATTGGCACAGGTAATGTAATATAGTGCAATGTATCAGATTATGTATCATGAAGCTAAAATAGTTTGTAAAGGTTTTGCATAATATGACATTAAATTGATAGATGCATTTCAACTAATATAAATAAAAGTAGAGTTGTATAATAGTCAAGCAAGTGATAGTCAATTACAATATAATTGTATAATCAAACCTGTACAATAATAATTAATAAACTTATCTTATTGAGATACTTGTTACCTAAAGAATCTGATGGTAACCAATATTAAGCCTCTTGATAAAGAATTGTGTCAAAGGAACAAGCAAAAAGAAGCAAAGTTAGAGAATTGTCATGCTAACAAGTAACTTTGATATCACAAGTGACATGACTCTTATGTACTAGCAAATGGTAATTCTAATTTTGAAGTAGTGACAGACTTGCCAGTACAGATAACAATATAATAATTTTTATCATTTATATTAATATAATTTAAATTTAATCATTACCAAACCATACCAATTTATTTTTTTGTTTTCATTTTTTCTACTTTCAAAAAAATCAGAAAAAGATAAATTTTTATAAAAATTTAATGAAAAATAAATAATATTATTACTTTTTAATATTGTTAAAAAAATACTTCTAATCAATGATTATTATTTATAGAATCAATTAATTTTTTTTCAAGAAATCTATTAAGATTTGTTACTAAGATATTAAATCTCTTAATTTATAACAAATTCAAATTATCTTTATTTTTCTATATAAAAAAATTTAAATCTTCTAATTTTAATATCCACAAAGATTTTATAAATCCTATTATTCATTGTTATTTTTTATAAGCTTTACTTTTTGTCAATTTTTTTTATTTAATTTAAAACAATTAATTATTAAATTTTAATAAATATTAAATATTAAAAATTAAAAAAGATAAATTTATAATTATACTATTTTTAATATATGTCTTATATAATCTTTTTTATTAAACATATAATATTAATTTTTAATATACAATATATTTTGTAAAAAGTTTCATAGATTTTTGTAGTCATGTAATTTTCTTTTATTATGATATTAAATAATAATATCAGATATAATGCTTTGAAAATCACAAATTACTTTGTAAATATGAAACAAATATTTTAATAAATTCTTAAGTCCAATTATTAATAAATATCTATAATAGAAATTATTACATATTACTAAAAGCAAATAAGATTAATTTAATTTAGTATTATTTACCTAAAGTTTATCTATATAATTGTTATTAAATGATTTTATTCAAGATGCAATATACATTTGAAGAAAATTATAATAAACTTGATATAACTATTTATTGCTTATTCCTGACTTTCTATAATTATTTTGTAAATTATTCAGTGAAAAAATTATTATTTTCATTATATTTCACAATTTATCAACAATTAAATAAGTTATATCAAATATATTTTTATTATTTTTAAGCCTTGAAATTGAGGAATCAATAAAAATCTATTTTAAAAGACTTGAATTACTTGATTTTAATATTGTTTATATAAAATTTTATTTATATATTATAGCATATATTTAAAAAAATCAAGATATAATATATCTATTGTTGAGGGTTATAACGGCAAGTCTGTCGCTACGTCACGATCGCCGATCATGTAATGTCAAAAGAGGCATGGAGATGTGGCACGAGGTAAGTGAAAGTATTAGATAATAGTCTGAGTTTTATAGTAAAAGGATAGTATTTTATTGTTGCTTTTTCTCTAGTACATTCCTCTTTTTATATACATGTTAAGAAATCTCAAAAATCCCAAAAATCCCTCAAGCTCCAATTAAACCCCAATTGGGCAAGGATGACATATGTTGAATCTATCTAATTTTTCGGTTCCTTTTACACTATATAATCTGAAAGAATTACTTCATATATATAAAGTTTTTAAAAAAAATTTAACAATATTAGTTTAATATATTTTTATTTTAATTAATAAATTATATTATATTTTAATTTCTAAAATAAATTTATTTTAGATAAATTGAATAATAATAAAAATTATTATTATTAATTTTTTGTCTCATATAATTTAGAGATCTATATAAAATCAGTTTTATTTATATTATTTAGATCAATTTTTGTTATTAAGTATAGATAGCAAGACTGTAAAAGTAAATAGTAAATTTGAAATCTTTTTTGTTTCAAGTAAATTAACTAATATTATAATAATTCATGAGATAAAAGTAGTTATATTATCAGAATAATAAAATAAAATTCTAATTATTTAGCTATTAATTTAAAAATAATTAATAAACACTTTTAAAAAACTTTTCTTTATAATTTATAGAAATTTTTAAAGTTCTTTGTTTTAAAATTGTTGGCTTTTAAAATTAAAAGATATTTATTTAATTTTTTATATTCTGTTTATTTTTTAAAAAAGTTTAGTATATTTCTATATAATAAAAAAATATAATGTTCAAATAACTTTTTTATATAATCTAAAGTCATTGCATTTGAATAAAAAATAATTGATAATAAGTATTAATCTAGGAGCAAGTATAATTATTTATGCTTTCACAAATTTGAATTAAATTATTCTTCAAAAACTTATCATTTTTTATTTCAAAATTTTTTATACTTATATAAAAGACTTATTAATACTATTGATTATTAAAAAAGATTTTATAGTCTTAATTATTAATTAATAATAAAGTTTATATTCAATATTTTCAAATCTTATTATAGAAATTTCTTTAATAAATGATTGAAATATCTAAAAATTCTTGTTGATAATAACAATAGTAATATATTTAAGTTGAAATATTTATTAAAAAAACTTATTATAATATTGCCAGTCATACTATATAGTTAATATTAATTAATTAGTCTTATAAAATCTTAATAAATATCAAAAAAAAAACTCTTTCTGCTAATCCCCTTGCCAATACAAAAACAGATATTCCAAGGAAATTTTTATATTTCTTTATAATAAAGTCTATATACTTTCATTAACAATATACATATTAAGAAGCATAGTCTTTTTCACTTGTTTCTTTCTCTTTTTGATATAAACTTCTTGTACTTCTGTGAGTAAATATAAGAAACTTCTACCTGCAAAGTTAAAGACAAGAAAACTTTGTTAAAAAAAAAACCTGTAGAAAAATACTCTCCTCTCTTTCTCTAGAGATTCAAGACTCTAGAAAAGTCTGGCATAGGTTTCTGAAACTCTTCTCTTATCTTTCTCAAGCTCCTCCTCTATTTTTCAAGTGTATAAACTTTTTTCTGATTTTTCTATAGAATTTTGCCTATCTCAATTTGACACTGAATTTTTGATTACACCAGAATTCTTGAATGGTGATTGGCTCGAATTTTGTACTGGTTGATCTACATATAACAAGAAATATAAACAAGATATGTAACTCCTACATATCCTATTTTGTACAATATAAAACTTGATGATGCAATTGGTTATAGTAAAAAGAACAAGGTAATAGGTTATCTATTTTGTCAAGATATGTTATGGCACTCCTCTCCCCTCTTGGACTGGTTTCTTTTCTCTTCAAGATCAAAAGAAATTTCATTTCAATCCAGTAACAAGCTTCTTCCATTGTTGATTATTCCAAGAAGACATTAAGCAATAATTCTCTAATATATAAGTTTTATTCCAAGCAATAATTTCTTATGGATATAAGACTTGTTATAAGTATCTTGAATGTTCTTGGTTAACAATGGAATAGTAGAAATTAAATGGTTTGCCTAGCTGCAGGTGATAGTAAAGGATTTATTCTGATGGACCGAAATTGATATTGGAGAGTTTTTATTTACCAGAACAAACTTTTCCAAGTGTTCTGCAATATTATGTGCTAGTTTAGCTTTAGTATAATATTATATATATTGTACTACTGTTTTCCAAAATTGGATAAATAAAAGTTTACTCTTGCAGTCTGATTAGAAACAAAAAAAAAAATCTCAATAAATATTATTAAGCTATTTAACTATTTTGAAATCTTGTAAATTATTAAAAATATCATTAAATGAAGTGCTTTTATAATCTTCAAAATCACTTTTATCAGATTCAATTTGAAATAAAACAATTTTTATTAATTTTATATTTATAAAAAAATTTCAATATAAGATAATATTAATATATTTTTTCTCTAATAAAAAATTAAAATTATTTATTAATATCTTTTAACTTTATTATTAT